GTGCCACCGTCTTTGCCCCGTGTCCGCGCGTGCTGCATTTTTATGTATGGTGTCATATACTGTCACCTCGCCATGTTTAGTGATATCCACTGTGTGGAAAAATGCATTTTGTTATAAGGGGGGGGGGGGGTACACTTGTGTTCCCCAATCCAGCGCTTTAGATAATACAGCATCTGTTTTTGACATAATGAAAGCCTGTGTTTTATGTGGGTGGTGGGCTTCGCCGTTCCTCAGGTCCGTTTCTGGCATTTGAATTTCTGCTACATTTCTAGAATGCCTTTTTTCTGTTTTTCATATACAAAGCACGGTTCAAATGTGTGACCACAAATCACTGTGATTGTCCCATGCTTACCACCAACCATTCCTTCAATGCTAATGTCGTTACAGCGAAGTTATTCATTTATTGAGAACAGGGTTGTAGTTGAATAAACAAGACAGGTGAGCAAAATCTGCAGCACTCGTAGTCTTGGCTGATGCGTTAGGAAAAATGGAGGAACTGCAAGTACACATCACTTTTCAGTTTTATGCTTGAGTGCATTGAATTCCAATGTAGAAGAATCGCAGTTTGATTGTATTTTCATTGATATTATGTATTGTTTCAATAATACTCGTAGATCTAATAAATATTATTCCAATATTACCTAGACGGTAGTTATCATCCTGCAAAACATGTCCAAATATTTAGTACCTTGAATAATGCAGTAAAATAAGCTGCGCCGCTGCATGTATCAGCAGCGCAATATCTGGTGCCAACTCAAGGTCAAGCGGGTCACGTGACAGCTGAGCGGCGGCTGGCTAGTACAGTCGCCGGCGACTTCAAAATGTTGGAAAAATTGAACTTTCTCGGCAACGCCGACAACTCTTCAATGATTGGCTGACACGACTGCTACGTCACACCCCGGCGACTGGTCAGCTGATATCGACAACTGCGGAGTTGCCGGCGACTGACCCCGGTCGCTGGCGATCGCCGGCGACTGACCCCGGTCGCTGGCGATCGCCGGCGACAGTTGCCGTCGCCGGCGACCGGAAAAGTTGCTACGTGTGAAAGGGCCATTAGTGAGCCGTAGCTGTTATCGGGGTCCCGAGTACGAGTTCGATGTTATAGTCTTGAACAAAGATGATGACTCCATGCATTTTGGGTAGATCGGGTCGGGTCAGGTCAGGTCGACCATCAGGCTTCCTGCCGGCCATCTAGAGTGGGTGACTGACAACCACCAACGATAGCTTCGTAACATGTTACATAACCATCATTTATCAAAACTACTTGAAACGGTTCAAACGGGCGCTAAACTCGAAATCAGCCCCAATAACCACACTTGTAAGTGGAAGCAAATAAAACTCAAAAAAGTTAACTAAGGTCATCCATATTCGAATCATGGGGCCAATTTTTTTTTTAGAATAGGTGTAAAATTCATTAACTCGAGGTCACTGGAAGTTTCGTTGCAATATACTCCTTTTTGCGCGTCTTATTAGGAAAGCCCCAGAGGGATCCACCATCTGACCCCATTTCCCCTATGCAGGCAGGTCCGAGGGTAGCAGGGCTGAGGCTAGCCAGGTACCTCGTAGCTACTGATACGTCATCCGACGAATCGACTGAAACCATTATTTTGACAATCAGACTAACGCTTGGGTCAGTTTTGACGCGCTCGCTCATTTGAGGGATAAAAAGGGACTAAAATCATATTGTCATGCTGATGTTCTAGCCCACAGCTTATTGACCTATAAGCAATAGGGACTAGGGAGCTCTTGAAGCGATTCTGAATCTGACGTTGTATTTGTTGATGTTGCTGACGCCAACTTCCCTGACATGATAGCTAAAAAAAGCATACTCAGCATCGCCAAAAGTGGGGGGGTCGACCCCCCCCCGGTTCTGACGACTGGGGGGGTCGCGACCCCCCCGACCCCCCCGTCGGCGACGCCCCTGCAGTAGAGGGCTATTGTAGCGTAAGCCCCTGACCAGCAGCCTCCCAGTGGGCTGCTGCAGTGCTGCATTATCAGCCTCAAACCAGCACCCACTCGGCGCGCCGGTCCGACCGGCGTCAGCTTGTCGTCGGTGACGCCACCGGGCCGCTCATGAGGCCACGCTCACCGTCCATCATCGCGGCGCGTTACCCAACCGACCGACCGACCCCGACCTCCGGTCAGTCGCGCCCCGCCCCGCCCCTCTCCTCTCCCCAGAGACGTCCCAGCGCGCTCTCGGCTCCGCGGCGGCACCCTGAGCTCGCGGCGGCAGCGGTTCTCCCCGCTCTCCCCACCGGCGGTTCTCCGCTCGCTCTCTCCCCACCACGGGAGAAAGTGCTGCGGCGCTGAGGGCGGCCGGGGAGTGGGGGCGGGGAGGAGGTAACGCCGCGGCAGCCCCATCGCCGCCGCCGCTGCAGCGCGCTCCGGGCGCCGGCCGAACTGTAGTAACACATACCTACTCGACCAGTACCGTACCCCACACACCGGCCGCCACGAGCCATGTGAAAGCAAGGCGACAGAAAAACGGCAACCGATCTGGTCCCGGGGCGAATAATGGCTGTGAAGAGACAATCCCGCCGCGTTTGGAAAACAAGTCGGTCATGAAAACAATGGCAGCGGAATTGTTTGTTTACGCTAATAGCGCCTAACGGGCGGATCTTCCTCGTTTGAATCGAAAATGGGACACATAAAATTAACTTAACAATGCTTTTGTAAACTACAATCAGGGGAACCAAATCAGACTAGACATGAGTCAAATTGGCGATGCAGCAGATAAATCACGGCTGAAGTGAATATCTCCAAAAGAATGTCTGTTCTCTTTTCTCTTGTACATTTTTTTTTCGCGCCACAGTGGAGCGTATCTGCCTGTGCGTTGTATCCACTTCTGCGTGGGCCTCAGCGAGCAGTTCGTCGGGCGTCCGAATGTATCGTGTCCACAAAAACTCGCCCCGCCAGCCCGTTCAATCAGCCTGTCATCAGTGTCAGAGGCGGACAGACCGTGTGCGCCGGCCGTCTCGGCTGCCCACACTGGCTCACACATACCCGGGCGCGCGCCGCCGGGGCACGGATACGGTCACGTCTGACCAGACTGTCGGGCGGACCGTCACGCCATCGGTCGGTCGGCGCGGTCACCGGGGGCGGCGGGTTTGGGCATCAAACAGAGCGCACACAACAGTAACAGATCGAGGACCAATCTGAGCACCAGTTCGGTACCAATTCGAGCACCCACAACGCTTCGAGCACCAACAATAGCTCGAGTACCACTTCGAGCACCAGCTCGGGCACCAATCATACCACCGACACCCGTTCCAACACCAGCACTAGCTATAGCAACGATTGCAATGGTGACATTCAGTCCCCTGTGCGGCCCGCGCGCAACAAAACTACGTATTCCCGTGAGAAGGGTTGCTGGCCGGGGGGACTGTCCGGTTACTGTGTGGAACTTACCGGTAGTACCGCAGGCCAGACCGCCAGAAGTTGGTGTTTTATTAATGCAATGTGGGAACTACTCCCACACCTTGGTTTGACCGACCTTCACCTTTGTTTAACGTTGTGGCGGCGGCCGGCGAGAGTCACTAGGTGCTGTAATTCGCCAACACCTAGTTACGGAGCGAGCGAAGCGAGCGGAGTCTTTCCTTAGATTAACGGAAATTTCTGAGTATGAACGGCCGGCCGGCCGTGGGGACGCTCTTCAAAAGCTAATATCTTAGGAACGGGACATCCGATTGACAAGCGGTCTTCTTTACTGAATGTCACTTGGACGTAAAAGTTCTGTGGTGTGATGGCCACCATGCGTTCTTGCCAACCACCGCACGTGGCGCGTGGTAAAGTTGGACATTTTTTAAGAACCCCCAAAATTGCAACCTCAATAACGGCACAACGGTTGGGCCGATTGAATTGAAACTCGGTACACAGTTAAGTCTCCATCAGATAATTCATCTGCATGTGTTAAGGTTGGGGTGCTGCTGCACGTGCGCACGTGCAGGGGTCGTTTCCAGATCTCGAGAACGGCTGGACCGATGGCGCTCAAATTTGGTACACGGTTAGGGACCAGTTAGTAGGGTGCCGTGCACAAGTCAGTTGGGACCCATTTTGCACGTGCGCACGTGCAGGGTGCCGCTTCCAGATCTCGAGAACGGCTGGGCCGATTGTGCTCAAATTTGGCACATCGCTAGAGACCGGTTAGTAGGGTGCCGTGCACAATTCAGTTGGAGGTACCCCCTCGAAATTTCGCACGTGCAAGGCCCACCCTCTCGCTCGCTCCGTTAGTCGCCCCATAAGGCGTTATACTGGTGATTACTGTTGGGTAATCTATCGAGCACGTATCTCTATTTATAGGCAGGATATGAAGTATATGTATAATCAGTAGACTCAAAGGGACTATGAACGCCGTAATCGCCACGCCATATGTAGAAGGCTTTTGATGTCAATACATACATACATACATACATACATACATACATACATACATACATACATACATACATTCATGACGCTAGTGACTGTGAACTGGACAGGGCTTTCGGCGTCTGGGACCACACCTTTGTTTTGAGGGCAGATTTCTGCCTGAATGTGAGGATGTGAACAAAGGAACTGAGGCGTGTACTGTGTGCTGTGTAGTGTTGTCCCAGCCAATGACTGCGAACTGGACAGGGCTGACACTGACCGTGAACTGGACGGGACTGCGCATACCGTCTGTCAGTCTATAGGAGAGATCGGTCTATAGGGTAGTGGTGTGTCAGTGAATTAACCCCACTCACTGACCGTGAACTGGACGGGACTGCGCGTGCCGTCTGTCTGTCTATAGGAGAGATCGGTCTATAGGGTAGTGGTGTGTCAGTGAATTAACCCCACTCACTGACCGTGAACTGGACGGGACTGCGCGTGCCGTCTGTCTGTCTATAGGAGAGATCAGTCTATAGGGTAGTGGTGTGTCAGTGAATTAACTCCACTCACTGACCGTGAACTGGACGGGACTGCGCGTGCCGTCGGTCAGTCTATAGGAGAGATCAGTCTATAGGGTAGTTCCACTCACTGACCGTGAACTGGACGGGGCTGCGCGTGCCGTCCGAGCTGGCCGATGTGCCGTCGCCGCCGCGGTAGAGCGCCGAGCGGCCGTCGCGCTCCTCGAACACGGCCACGATCTGCTCGCGGTCGTCGGCCACGTCGCTGAGCCGGTCGTCGGGGTCGAGGAGGCCGCCGTCGGACGACTGCAGGGAGAGCACAGACACCCAGCAGTCGGTCGGCTGAAACGGAACACAAGACGTTAGTCCAGGGCACGACCTCAGCCCAACAGGTATAACAGCACTCACCACCTACCGCCTAACGTTCATCGTTCTACGTTCTAACATTCAGCTAACTCTAATTCACAAGATATAATGATATATCACGAAACGAACGATTAGGATGAATTGTTAATTTTAATTTGATTCTATGTGTGTCTAACTGCCTAGGCTGAGGAAGAAAGCCGCAGTGCTTTCGAAAGCTACCATAAATAAAAAGTACCTGGTGTTTCGAATATTCGTCCTAAACTCTAATTCACAAGGTTTCACAAGGTGCTGCGATGAAACACAGCCGCCAAAACGCAGCGACAAGAAAGCACCTCAGCAAACATTTACCTCGCACAAAATAAGACAGAGATCCGTCAAACAACTTCCTGATCACCCAATGCATCGTTCAATTACTAGATACAACGCCGATAGGGCCGTGTCGACAACAAGCCCGCTCCATCTGGCTCCGTTATGGGGCCGATCGGCCGGCCGGCCCAGCCGCGGTAACGACCCCGCGTCGCCGGGGGCAGCGAGCCGCAGACACAACAGGTGGCTGCCAGGTTAATGACGCTCTAACCCCGGCAATAACACGGCATTATACCCACAGAAGCACGAAACGAACCGGGTTCATACGGACCATGAAAACAGCCGGTCCCAGGTGCGCGCGGCGGACCTTTATCGTGCGCCGCTCGGTCCCGCTCGTCCCCTAGTGATGGGGGCGGTATCACCGGCCCAGATGGTAGTGTTGGTCAGAGACAAACCGGGACCGTGATAATGAGAGAGGGGGACAGTGATTAAACAATGGGTTTGGACCCAGTAGCTAGAAGCGTAAGCAGCAGCCCATATGAACAAAACGAGTACGACGCAGAACTACTCCTTTGCAGCCAGGCAGCACGTATTCGACTGGGAGTAAAGCATTATGAATATGCCGCTATTATTGTCACCAATTCATTCAATTTAAATTTATCCAGCTGCTGTCGCGGATAAGCCCAACGTCACTATATTCCCAGCGGAGCGACATCAAGTCATGACCGACCCGAGCAAAAGAACATGACAGCCAATGGCGCCGAGCCCGTACTTCTCTCGCATTAGGGACGGACATATACCAGAGCACACTGCATAGTGCAGAGTGACGACTGACGACTCTCAGTGGCCTGTATTTATTTACAGATGCCACGGGCCATGGCATCTGCCAGATTCGCTGCACCCACACAGTGAGGTCACCCAGTGTCATCTGGTGGAGCGGCGCCCATCAGGTTAGAGACGCCACCCGAGCCGATCCGAATACACCCAGTCCAGCCGTCCGGCCGTGTCCCTTTCAGCATCAACACAGTTATTGAAGTCTGCACAGAGGGTCGTTCCATGGCAGTCTTTCCAGTACTGATACGGATGTCTGTACGGAGATCAACAGAATGACAGTCTTGTCAGTCCATGACTTCAACGTTCACCGCCCTACTAATCAATCCACCAACGCCTATCCCACGACTAGCATAATATATCCGTCGGCCAACTATTCTTATACGCGTCCCTGTCAGAACAGAGTACACACTACACACAGAGACACGAGTGTCCACATGCAGACACGAAAGTCTACATAGCCACAAAGGTCTACACACGGACGCGAATGCCCACAGAGACGCGAGCACCCCTGCCCGGTCATCCATTGTGCACGACGAACAATGCGCCCGGTCAGGAGGCCATCGTGTCTCCGGGACGTGATCGGTGCCATCGGCGCGTCCGTCCAACCACATAAAGGGTCAACGGAGCGCCGGCGACCCGTGCTGGCCCGTGGATCGGACCGCACTCGGCGTAATGAACCCAGGCACGGACACACATCGCTAGTCGTGTGCAGCGGAAGAGAGACATGAAAACCACAACAAATAAAGAAACTACCTGTAGTGGCTAAATAAATCAACCAAATAAGGCGAGGAAAGCTCCCACCGTTAGCCGATGAGTTTATATGAGCCTTTCAACACCAAGCCTCAAGTCAGCAGACCTGACAATCTTTCGCAGGCTTGATTATCCCCTCATTATCTATCGCAAGCTTCACGAGCTGCACGAGCTGTCTGAGCCGCTCGGCCTCGGCGGGTCGCGTGCGGCCGCACCTGTCAGCCGCAGCGGTCGGGTGGGCGGGCCGGCTCGGCACCATCCGCAGCGTCAGACGGCAGCGGACCCACGGCACCGCTCGGCGCCGGCATCTGACCCGGGCCGGCCGGTCGACCGTTATCGCTCCGACTCTCCCACGGCAGCGGCACGAGATAGAGCACCAGGAGAGAGAGGCCGCGCCGGCGGCACTGGGTCGGCCGCGCGCCGCCGTCCCTGCAGCCGGCCGAGTGTTGAGGCAGAGGTCAGCAGATGGCCAGACCGGGCGGCGGCAGGGGTCAGCCGATGGCCGGCCGGCGCTCCCGTCACTGGTCGAGAGTGATGCTGCTGTGGACTCCGCGCTCCCCTGGATGACGTGACGTTACTCTCAAAGAGTAGGGATCCCGAATGACCAGCCCTCCGATGCCAGCAGCCCCCGTTCGTTGGTGCGAAACACAGCGCCGGCAGCGGCAGACGGTGCTCCGGACAGTTCATCGCACGGCCAGAGAACACGACCAGAGACGGCCAGAGACGGCCGAGAGACGGCCGGGAGACGGCCGAGAGACGCGGTCAGCGACAGTCACGCACGCGCCAGCCGACCGCTGGCCTGTGTCGGCGGCCCGGTTCCGTTTGTCGGCCAACAAACGTAGACTGAGGGATCCTAGGTTATTATTAGGTACATCTCCCGACGCGCTATGAAGGTGTGACTGTGGTGTGATAGGGCAGCGTCTTATTTATTCACTGGTCCGCCCCAGGGGTTTGACCTGGAGTCCTCAACGAGCACCTCCCGCCCGTCAGGCGTACTGTCCAACAATCAAACGGCGTCCCGATGCTCTATCAGGGTCGCTCGCTCCCGAAACTCAGCACCTGCAGTGCACAGCCCACTCTAGTGGTATATATGCGTTAATGACGAGGTTTCTGTGAAAACCTCTAGCTAATTGAGCTGGTGTTTCACGTCTCAGGCATTTTCGTACGCTGTAGATTCCTATCAGCTGTTGAATTTGCCGAAGACATTCAGAATGACAGAGCTGCACGCATTGTCCTCTATGTCGTGCAGTCATTCAGAAGTATGCAGAGCTTGCACAGGACAATTTCTTTGCAAGAGTTACCTACATGCAGTGACAGTGTACATTTCCTCTTGGGATTTGTCGAAGTCTCTTGTAGATTATACATCTTGCTAACTGCGTGTAAGGTTAACAACTCCAGCAGGAGCAAATAGTGAATGAGTGGAACTAGTAATACGGCGCAGAAAAGTAAAAACAAAGATAGGACATAGGTATGTGGCGGAGATAATCCAGGCCTGTGCGAGATTAAGTAACGCAAAAAAGCTTGTCTTTCAGAAGAGCATTTCAGCTTTCCTACCAACCAACCTACCAGTTTTCCATTCAGTTTTTATCAGCTCGATTCTTTTACGCCTATCGTATTTCTGAGCTCGTGATCAAGGCAGCTTATACTTTAGAAGCAAGCAAAGTCGATAAACACGAGCTCAGCTGAGAAAAAAACTAACCGAGGAGAAACGGGCATTGCAAGACCTACTACTCTTAATATTTCCTCAAATAAAATGGGACTTAAATGCTTTGAACGAACTGACGCAGTAATACGGAGTTCGCACTCGCAAGTCAGCATCAACTGGCCGTGCAAGTGTGAGCTCCTTGTAAGAGCTCGCACTAGGCATATTGTAACAAAGATTCTGATCTTCACCCTCCGATCGATAGGTAAATTGTTTCTCGGGATAATTAATTAGAAATTTAACGTGCCCACATAAAAGTCCGGCACGGTCCACGCCTCTCCCCAATCACAGCTGGCCACAACTGATCCAACTTCCACCGACCACATACACAGAGCAGCTTGAATCTGGGCTCCGACCACCAGTAATCAGAGTCCCACAACCGAGCTATCAAATACAATTATGGGATATTTAGCTGCTACTGGCCACATGCTCAACTGTTGTGATCTAGCAGAGGTCAGCAGACAGCAGCACCTGGTGCTCAGCATCCATATTTTCATTCAGCTGCCCAAATGCTGAGGATGCTGTATGCCAGTGTATGTAGTGGGCCAAGTTAAAGGGACCCTCCCACCTTAACCCGCGCCCGGCTGGGGGTCCTGGATTTCCACGCCCTGCTGGGGGGGGTGTTTGAACACCCCCCCTTCTAACTCGGCTCCTGGGCCACGTAGCGATACGCGGAAGGCGGCGTTCGAAAGAGCGTAAAAAATAACGAGGAAATCACTTCGGTCAATTTTTTGGTCAGGTCAAAGGTCAGGTCACCAGAGGTCATTGAAGGCAAATTTTCGCCGATTTCCAGGTCGAATGTCGACAATTTCCAAGAAGCCAACGCATAACTCGGGAACCAATAGAGCTACAGCGCCGCGGAAAAGCGCATTCGATAGCCCTATTAACGCCCTTTCTGAGTAATTCTCTCAGATTTGACCTAACGTCAACGGTTTTGCCTGCAGGGGGCAAAAACTGCAAAAATAGCCGATTTTTTTTTTATATAGTTTTTTCTGCAATAACTTTTGACCCAAGCCTTGTACGAGCTTACTTTTACCGGCATCGTGTTCCTCTCGTCAAGACGCATCGAATGAACTATAACTTGACCTTGAAAGGTCAACTTCAAAATTTGACCTCAGGTCAAGGTCATGACCTGACCGGAAAGGGTCATGTTGCATATCAGTCGATCCGTATCGTCGAGCTGAACACATCTAAGGCGTTTTCATCGCTCTAGCATGCCTCTATCAAAAGTTATTTGCGAAAAACTGTTAGATACCATTCGTGACCTAAGATGACCTCAGGGCATAAACAGGGGTCACGGACACCATTTTCATGTTCAGTGTGTCTAAACCACTTGTAATTCGGTGTTTGGGAGTGTTTATAATGTCTTTCGTCCAAAGGAGGCGCATTTCAATTTTCTCCCATTGACTTATAATGGGGAGGTCGCAAAATTGACCTGACCTTAGGTCATCGACATCAAAATTCTGAGATATACATTTCGCACATGCTATTGCTCTTAGCAATCGCTGAAAGTTTCAAAGCGGTCGGTCACTCGGTGTAGCTATGACAGACATTGAAACTTTTTATGAGGTGAGGTCACTTCAAGTGACCTGGTGACCTGACCTTGAATGACCTTGGTCTGAAATTTTCACAACATGTGTAGAATTGATGTATGATAAGGTGTACCAAAAACGGCGGCGCTCCGCGCCGCCGTTTTTGAGATATTCGCGAAAAACCACAAGGGGGGGGTGTTCAAACACCCCCCCCCCCCAGCAGGGCGCGGGTTAACATTATATTTGAGTTGAGATAGCCAAAATGGGGTCCCTGGCTCACAATTACCGGTTTCGGCACTCACAACATCGAGAAATGCCTTAAATCGGAAATATTGAATTTCAAAATTGCAGCATTTTGATTCAGAGGGGCTAATGCTTAGGAATACCCCTCTGAATGTGTGACGTCAGCGCAGATGTCTAACGATTTTTAAATGCTTGACTAAAACGTTTTGTAGCACGCGGTGGTATATGTTATTTGCGCGCAACATCTGCCGCAAACGCCGCACTTCTAAAATAAAGTCGCTAGAAACAGCGGAGATCCCAAAAAAGTAAACAAAAGTAAAAGTCTAATATCTTGAAAACCGGTGAATATTTTTCGGTGAAATTTGGTAGATATTCGTTTTCGCTCTTTCTGAACCGAGCGACATCACTTTCATACCAATTCATAAACTTTTTTGAAGGTGGGAGGGTCCCTTTAAATGTCATGCTGCATTTTCCTTATGATGACCAGCCATAGCATGCTGCAATGCCATGACCATGATGCAGTGTGTTGGAAAAATAATAATAAAGGAATGAAAAATAAAGACAAAAACTACATTTTAATCAATATTTCCTTTTAAAATAAATGCACATTTAGTGATGAAAACAATAAACAAGCATAACAGCATAAATGACCCATGCTTGTGACTTGTGAGTAAATGAAATATACATGCCTTCTATATCTGCATACAAATAAGACAATTAGGCATTTATCACCTAAGAACTTGTAACAGTTTGTACAGTTGCTAAACTTTTTGCAGCCACTACTCTATCTTGATGCAAACTCCAGCCTTCTAGAGAAAAGTGTTCTGGTAGGTAGGTGACTTATAGCTAACAACCCTTTCAGAATTGTAGTAAAACACAATGCTCTTCAACAAATATAAATTGAGTAACATGGTGCAATATGACTAGGTGACTATGAAAAACATGAATATACCTATTATGGTGTGTCTTCATCTTCAAAATGTTGATCTGGAATTGAATTAGGGGAAAACCCATGACACATCAGCTACAAATCATGCTTGATCATTTGAGCATGTTAGATTGCCTTACCTTTCCCGTTGCCTTTTTGTAGCGAGAGGCAGCCTGGAGCATGAGGTCCCGTACTGATCCATTTCCATCTCCACAAGGGACGACCACTCGTACACCACTGAAGCACACTGTCACTTTCATGGTAGAGCTACCACTTTCACACTGTTTTATCTTTGGTTTTAGTGAAAAATCATCATCTTTCACTCTCCACATCTGAACACCACAGAATCAGTTTTATCACACAATGGAAAGCATTAACTTCCAATTGGATCCTGGGTCTGAAAAAAGAAATTCAAAGTCAGTGACGTGATGTTGTCGTGTCAAGCATTATGAATATTGACTTTCACTTGAATGATTTTATTTTGACTTACTTTTACCATTAAATGATATGCAAGGCATCTAGTATGGCTGCACGAGAAGAGCTCACCCACACAATGACAGTGATTTGAATAATAATGCACAAGCCACCACATTCGCCTCAAACAGTTTCAAATGCCTCATTCGCTTGTCACAACACTAATACAAGAAAATCGACCAAATTATCATTCCTCACAGACAGAGAAGCAAACAACCGTCGAACAGCTTACCTTCATGGTTGAATCACAAGTTCTCCGAAATTCCCACGGCGGCCATCGCTCATTGAAATTCCCCCTCCGGCAGGTGGTCGCCGATGTACTGATCGAGCTGCCATCTGCTGGCCAGTAATGAAACGGTATATGAATCGCTGTCCGCTAGATGTCAAATCACGCTGTATTGCTCTAGATTCAATCTAATAAACGTGCAGTAAATTATAATGCGCAAGCCATTGGCTTGTGCTTCACTACATTCTAGTTTAACTGAGCGCGGATATCAATGTCTTTTTCTATTTATTTGATTTACTTTAATACGCTTTTCTTTGTTCATGAATTAAGCTCGATCACTGAAAATGTACGCATTACGGATTGCCTATTGAACCACTCACCGACCCGACCATCGTAGGTTGTGTTTCGCAGTACTGGTGGATCGAAGGGGAGGGGGGCCAAAGACCCGAGTTTTAACATACCGCCTATGGCGGTGCTTGGAAAGAAAGGGGTCATTTCGGTCATTTGCCTCCCCCCATCAAAAAAAAAAAAAATGTCCGGCTGGATCCGCCAATCACATGACTGCGTCAGTGCGTCATAGCCTATGCATAGGTATTTAGCTACCGGCCTTCATGGAAGTCAGGTGTAGGGCGTCATGCAAATCTAGGCAGGAGTTAGTTGTGACCTTGTTTTGGCTCTGCTAACCTGATATTGCTCTGAAGCTCTTGGGGGAAAAGAGAGTTAAACGGCTTCCCGGCTTCGCGCCGGTTAATCGAATGACCAGACTACCTACTGCAGAGCAGTGATATGAAGCAGAAGCGACATGCCATCCTTTAGCTTATGGAAGTCCAACAAGTCAATAAGTCATTTATTCTGGAACTACGTGATGCGGTTTTTAGGTGAATCGGTGGACTATTATTCAGCAGTTCTGTCAAGAAGCTGTAATAATTCAACTGTTCAAGGAGTCTCTAATTAGACTAATTAGTGTCCCTATGCTGTTCGGACTCTGGGTGGATGTCATGGCACGCCCAGCCGTCGGTGGCCTGTATGGTGTCAATGTGCCCACCATTAGTCACAGAGGCTGTTTCCGCTCGCGGTGTAGGTATCAAGTCTAGGTAGGTATGACATGTCACATGAAAACGTGCATACCTACCTATTGATTATTGAATGTTGGACGTTCTACAGTTAAGAAATGGTTAATGTACCTGATAAGCGAATGACCTGATAAGCGGAACAAGCTCGTCATTATCCACCTAGATTGGCCGTTACTGTTTGATAGCGAGCGTTGGTAACGAAATAAATAAATATAGGAAGGAATGTACGAGTAGGTAATGAGAAAACGTTAATTAATAGGAACGCACTTATAGGTCGGTGGATTGAATGTAACTACCTACGGAGGCATAATTAAATGACAAAAGATAGGTAGGGTGGAATGGTTTATGTGTGACAGCGATGTGATCTTTCATAACAAACGCGAAATAAGTTTTAGCACTAAATGGAAAGAGGAGAGAGAGAGAGAGAGAGAGAGAGAGAGAGAGAGAGAGAGAGAGAGAGAGAGAGAGAGAGAGAGAGAGAGAGAGAGAGAGTGAGAGAGAGAGAGGAGGGAGAGAGAGAGAGAGAGAGAGAGAGAGAGAGAGAGAGAGAGAGAGAGAGAGAGAGAGAGAGAGAGAGAGAGAGAGAGAGTGAGAGAGAGAGAGAGGAGGGAGAGGGAGAGGAGTCAGTTGGCGGTTCCTCCGGCCGGCCGGACGGTGGCCCCGGCCCGTCCGTCCGTCCGTTCGTCCGTCCGGTCGGCCGGTCGTCTCAAGGCTGTCAGGTGTAAGGGCTGACTTCCGGCGCCGCTCTGTGACGTTTGGACCGGTCTGGAGAGCCGCCACACCCGGCCAGGAGACAGAGCGGACAGTGCGGCGGCGCTCACCGGACCGGGAGAGAGAGAGGTCCAGCGGCACGGGAGGGACCTGCTCACCGGGAGAGACCTGCTCACCGGAACGTGAGAGAGGCTCACCAGCACGGGAGAGAGGTTCATCGCCACGTGAGAGAACTGCTCACTGGGAGAGACCTGCTCACCGGGAGAGACCTGCTCACCGGAACGTGAGAGAGGCTCACCGACACGGGATATACCTGCTTGCTCACCGGGAGAGATCTGCTCACCGGCTCGTCGACACTCCGGTGCTCCGAGTGAGGCAGCTGCTCAGTGCTCAGTGCTCAGTGCTCACAGTGCCGGCCGAGAAACGCCGCCGCGTCCAGAGCAGTCGTTCACTGCGTTTTGGGAGCTTCTCAGGGAGTCAAGAGACCACCGGACCCAGAGAAGCTGCTCAACGCGGGACGTCGAGGAGAAGCTCATCGCACCTCTGAGAAGTATTCCGGTCTGAGAGTGGGACAGAGTTTGTTAAACCTACCTACCGATACCGAGTGCCAAAGCTGGCCAGTTTATTTGTGTGCTGAGAAGTGACGTTTGAACGTTTCCCGCCGAAGTTCACGGGTGTGTTATTCGACTGAGATCTGATATTCGGTGGAGAAGAGTCGACTCAGGGTCGTATCGGACACAAACCGGCTCCTCTGCCCGTGGCACGGCTACTGCAAAAACTAGCAGACGGCGCCACTCAACTGTGGATAACGTGCCGTTCGCGGTTAGTGGAAGTGCTGTCAAACAGTCTACCGGCTGTAGAGACTTTTCACGTCACTGAGATCGTCTTGTCCTAGCATAAACGCCATATTAACGTTGAAAGCCGGTATATATACGCGGTGTCAGCCTTGTAGGTCAATTTGCCTGCACTTTTGGTGGATCTCGACGTTTTATCGGGATTCAAGTAACGAAGGAAGGAAGGAAACCCAAGCGAGAGACGACATAGCGACGATATGTTTTTCTTCAGCTTCCTGTTTTCAAGGAGGTAAGTAGGCATCCTGTGAGATAAGTAAGCAGCTATTCACGGGTAGTGTGCCTACTTTCAGGTGCTAAAGTGGCTCATGGCTGTTTCACTTCGCCGACCGACTGTGACCTTTCTCAGTTTGATGCTTTGGTCAGCCGATGTGTTCGTCCTCACAGACAGTCCGGTTGTCGGGTGGTGCATGCTTCATTTGAATTGAAAATCAACGTTTTAAACCAGAAATCACTTTCTGACGTTTACATTCTATTCTCAAATAATCCAAACTTGGGTATTTATGCCTAATGAAAGAGTTGCAACTTTATAAACGTATCGTTTTAAAAACTTCAGTGCCCTTCCACGAACTATTCTAAAACAAAAATGCAGTTGGTAAATTTCACAACGTTTCACAACGGCTTTCATCGACCGTTTCCTTGACATCAGCTAATTATATAAATCGTTTGCTCGGTCCAAAAAGGCTTGAGGTTTGTATTTTGTTAACTATAGCTCAATTGCATTAATTGTAAGTTAGGTAAGTTGTAAGTTGTTGTGAGTCAAGTTGTAAGTTGACTTACAACTTATACCTATAGCTTGAATTGCCGATTCAGTTCGACTCAGAAATGAAGGGACCGGGGAAATCGCCGTCCTTTTGCCTTATTATCACACGCTTGAATGATTACAATGTCAATACCTATGGTACACATCCACCGGGTGATTTTCTCTCTGTTTGGAGAGACGATTGATACCTACAAGAGCGCGACGGAAGGTCATCCGAAGGTCGGCGGGGCTCCACCGGGGGCCGGCAGTCTGCTGTTCAGCCTCATATACCTACCCACACGCCTGTACCGTCCGACCAAGGCTGGCCAACCGTCCTCACACAGCCGCCGCCAATTCCAGGCTCGATTTCGAACGATACCAGAGCGCTATAATCGCTCCCGGTGGACTGAAATTAATTAGTTTAGCTGAGCGTACGGAATAGTTGGATATTTGGTGCCTAACACAAGGACACGACTAACACGTCTATGATTCATGGTGATATGTGAGTTATCAGCACTGGCAACTGCCATTTAGACAATCTCTTTATTTCACTTTCCTTCATCTCCAGCACTGGTGGCTTTCGGTCCAATTCAGTTATCCTCCGCGGTTGGCACGCGTCTCTGAGTCTGGCCGAGTCCAGGTATCGATCCTCGCTCCTGTTCGGCCCCGCGCACCATCTCTCACATACACACACGCCGACAAAGACACAAAGACCTGGGATCGGACCTCCGCTCCGAAACCGATGCAGCGCTGACGACACGGCCTTGTGGGCTTTGTCTGATTTATTGCGAGGACGCGACCGAACCTTGAGTTTGTCGTGACCAAAGAAAATAATGACAAACAGATGGCGTACTTCACAGGAGTGTTATTTTGAATAAGTGCTTGCAAAAGTGAAAAATTATGCATTAAAAGTGATGCTCAAGCTGTAAATATTACACATTGTCTTTCAATTGCTTTAACTCTCAACCGATACGAAGGAGAATATGAACAGTGGTCTATCACGCAAGTCATTGCCTATAAAAGCGATCCAATTTGCGTTTTACACGCAATACATCTCAGCCATAAAAATCCCAACCACCGAGGTGGGGAAGAAGTAGCCGACGCACTTTAGCCAAGATTCCTTCGTTGATGCGATGGTGCTTCGGCGACGGTTGATCGTCGGCGCACCCTCACACCCGTCACTCCCCGGCCGTCGGCGTCCTCTCACTCTCGGCACCTTCCTCTCGGCTGGCAACAGACGACGGGTCGGCGCCACGACCCACGTGCCACACTAGACTGTTCGGGAAAGTCGATGGTCTCTTTTGGGCTCAGCCGGTTATTGTTCTGTTGACCTGACCGACATAACTAGCATTATAACCTTTCACGAACGTGCTATGTACACATGTTTGAAGTGCTAGGTATATGTTCACCGAACAGATCTTGCAGTTTTACTCTGGAATACAGAGTAAAACACACGTACTTACGAGCCTTGAGAAAAATGAACTCTTATTATCTAACCAATGCTATCCTTATATTGGGATTCAACTGACAGCCGTTGTCAATGACACTAAAACTTTAAAATGTCAGCAGACTTCACCCAAATGACTCAGAGAATTTCTACAGTGCAGGGATGCGGAGCCGTGGGAATTTCAGACGGCTCGGACTCCGGCTCCGGCTCCAGAGAAAAAAAAATCGGCTCCGGCTCCGACTCCGGCTCCAATGCTCAGTACATCCCCTATGCAATTTAATACAAGTGGAAGAAAAAAGACGATGGGATTGGTGCACGTTGCTTCTGTATTTGCATAACAAGACTAATTTCACGTTTTGAATACTACCATATGTTTCAGGTATTGCCTTGAACTGTCAAACCGAACTAGGTAAATAATTTTTTCCTCTTCAAAAAGGGAGCCGGAGTCGCCCCCTTTTTGGGCGGCTCCGGGCTATATTGTTTCACGGCTCCGGCTCCGGTTCCGGCTCCGGGCAAAATATGCCAGCTCCGGCGGCGGCTCCAGCTCCGGTTCCGGCTGCGCACCCCTGCTACAGTGTTTGCATTTCACCCTCAAGATAATACGAAGTAAGGCTGGGTCAAGAGACAAGCGGGGCGTAATGAACAATGATAGAGCAGCATCCCAATCGCCCGGTTCGTGCTTTTAGAAGTGTCTTGTAATCATGCCTGCATCCAGTGGAAGGTTTTCCCAGCCCCGTTTGTCCCGGCTCCGTTTGTGTTTCTATCTTCATCTCAACGAGCTGCGTCCCGTCTATGCTACACGTCTCCGCGCCTTCTACGCTGCCCGTCTCTGTCCCCACCAGACTTCGCCTGCGTGTCTTCTGTGCACCATTTGTCTCCCATTCCAGTGCTGTCTTCGTCCCAATTGCATTCTCGTTCCGCGTCCGGTTCGGTTTTCGTCTTTGTCGCCATTTCGTTTCCGTCACGTCTCCGTCTCGTCACTCGCCGTATCCGTCTCAGCGTCTTTCCTGCTGGTCTCTTTCCCATAAACGTATCGTCTTCCTTATATCATGCCGCCTCGTTCACGCACCTCGCTGGTATATCTTCTCTCTTCCTCGTCAGTCGTCTATATTTCCTTCCCGTCTCCATTCTTCCACTCTTCCATGCCCGGTTCCACCCCGTTCTCTTCTCTCCTCCATCTCCGTCTCGTCTCTCCTTCGTCTCCGTCTTGTCTCTCCTTCGTCTCCGTCTCGTCTACCCTTCTTCTCCCTCTTGTCTCTGTCTCCCATGCGCACGTGGCCCACGTGGCGCTCGCTCTGTCGCTCGGCCGCACTCGGCGCGTTTCATTCTGCGCGGCGGCTGGAGGCCGTGCCGCGTCCTCCATCGATTGTGAGCCGTGGGGTGCGCGTGTGACCTGGCCTGACCCCGCCGGCGGCCTTTGTCGCGTCGACGCCGACGGAGCCCAGGATAAGCGTGGCTCCGTCGAGCGCGCTCAGTGGTGGCCGGGAGCCGGTCGGGGTGGGACGGTCGCGCTCGTCGATGGAGCGTCAGGGACCGGCGTGCCAGCAGTGCTGCTGCGCCTGCTGCTGCCGCGGCTGGTGAGTGACGGCAGCGGGGCTGAGGCGACTGAGCTGGGAGTGCGGGTGTCGGAACGTCACAGGTGATTCAAAACATATTTTCAATGAGGTGTTGACGTTATTTGATGATGGTTGTTCAGGTGTGATATCTTCAAGCGCCTGGATTCAATTGGACTTATTTGGTGAAATGAAGAGTACGTACGGTAAACGGCTGATATCCGAGAACTCGTAGGTAATGTGGCTGATAAGCAGGGATGTATTTGTGGTCAAGGCTGCTCTTGTGACACTGACAGATTTAAGTAAATCTAATAATTTATCGAGGCTGGTCAGCGATCAAGAGGTACCGCGCTCCACGGATATAGGTCTACGTCCTTTGTACTCACGAGTTGAGGGACGATGTCGCCTGCTTCTTTATTCCGAAGCTGTTTGTTTGCACGTCACTAATGGAAGAGCGTATCTTTCGCGTGATCTTGGATAGCAATTAGCTTTCCTAGCCTGTGTTACAATTTTTAATGCCTTTATAAACCTTGACATTGCATATATTTGCCATATTTGTGCCATATTTGTAATATCACCGTGGCATTTCAAGAATAAAGATGTCCGACTGCACTCTTCATTTAAATATGACAGACTTAAAGACAATGGTAGCTGCAGAAGTTGAGCGCTGCGTTACCAAGAAATTGCAGGAACTGGGAAGCGTCCTAGTGTCAGATATGAATGCTATGTTTCGCAACGTAAACGATGAGATTGAGCGATTAGGCAGACGTGTCAAGGACATTGAAGAGGTGCTCCATGACAAGAATTTGAGGCAAGGCAAAACACAGCTGCCAGTGAAAGTCAGCCTGGTTTTAACTGAAGCTGCCACCAAAACACAACACGAAGACGCAGAACAGCATGTGGTTAATGGTATGAGTCAAAATGACCGAAAACGCCAACCGTCCGAAAATAACTCCAAGAACGCTGCTGAAAGTGAAGAGAGCGGGTGGATCACAGTCAAGAGTAGGCGGGCAAGAAGACGGAAGGCCCATGCCAGTGGAGCCGTGCTGATCGGCGGAAGCAATGTCCGACGAATCAGTGCTGCAGCACAAGAAGAATTTCGCTTCGGAGACAATGTGACCTTTTCTTCAACCGAAGAAGTTAGCAGCGCTGACGTCAGTCACCTGCTTCCTTCAGCTGTGCGGAAAACCAACGCTGAAGCAGTGGACATCGTGCTACACTTTGGAGAAAACGACATAGTCGGTTCCGACGCGGATAATGTAATGGAGGGCATCGCTCACGTGATAACTGTGGCGAGGAAGCAGCCCAACACACGCGACGTGGTTGTCTGCTCCGTTGTTGAAAGACGAGATGCAGGTCGTAACACAGCTGACACAGCACGACTCGTAAACGATCAGCTCGGAGCACTCTGCGCCACGTACGGAGCAAGATACTTAGACCTGAGAGATCGTCTTCGCGCATGTGAGCACTTTGGGATCAATAAGACTGGCTTCCTGTACACCCGGGATGGGGCCAGAAACGTGTCACAAGAAATCCTGAGCGAAGTTGATGGTTTTTTAGATTAGCTGTCAGCGACCGCCTAGAGTCGGTACCGATCGGACAGCACCAGATCGAACCCGCACCGCCTTATTCAGCTCCACGAAGGGTCTGTGGAAAACAAGACAGAAAGCTACCTGCTGTAGTGATGTGACTAGCTCATCTGAATGTTCGATCGCTTGTACCTTCATTGGACGACGTCAACATTTTGCTTGAAGATAACGATATAGATATTCTGTGCATTACTGAAACATGGTTGCAGCCGGATCTGGATTCTCGGTTCCTTATCTTCCCGGGCTATAAAATAGTCAGGGCGGACCGCCCAGCACGTGATGGTTCAAATGTGAGAGGCGGTGGGATCTGTATTCTTTACAAGTCACACCTGCGCGTAGAACGGCTGGATGTTCCATCAGTAGGCTCACCACTTGAGAGTATGTGGGTGAGTCTTGGCGGCAGACGGACATCGGTGGTTGGTGCTGTATATCGACCCCCAGCTGCTCCCGTGGCCGCCACCGATGACCTTCATGATCAACTGCACTGCTATATCTTCACAGCTCAGGACGGAAAGTGTTTGTCCTAGGAGACATGAACCTAGATTTGTTGTGCCCAGAGAAGCCTGGGGTTGGATATTACAAGGAAATGTTAGATGACTTAAACCTGAAGCAATTAGTGACACAGCCAACGAGGCCAGGCCTAACGGAGCAAGCTACCTCAGGAACAGGAACTCTGATCGATCATATTCTGGTATCTGCAACAGATGACATAGCGACTGCCACGGTAGTCCCAAACAGTTGCAGCGACCATGAGCTGATCATCGCTCATATACCAACTGATCATCAGAAGCGATCGCGGCCTGAGATCGTCATCCGTTCGACGCGATTTTTATCCCAGGATGCGCTCTGCCTTGACCTGCTGTCGGCTGATTGGAGCGGCGTCTACGAGGTGGCTGGAATGAATGAAAAGTGGTCGGAATGGTTATTGGTATGGTCACCCATTATTGACAAACATATGCCACTAGTAAAAATAAAACCAAGACGCGCACCCTGTCCGTGGCTCAACAATAACACGCAATTGCGCGATTCGATGCGCGCTCGAGACGAAGCTCGCGTCATCTACCAACGAGACCCTACCCCGAGGAACAAAGCAAAGTTTCAAGTCAGAAGAAACGCTGTTAAAAAAGACTTTCAAAACGCTCGTTCGTCATTCTTCTCGACTTCTGTGGAAAACTCGCGCAATTCAATGTGGAAGAATATCAAACAATTCTTCTTATCATCAAAGAAGAACACTGCGACAATGGGAAATGATGACCCACAGTTCGCAGATCTGCTCAACGCCCACTTCGCCACCTGCGGTCCTCGAGTAGCTGCTGAGACGGAGGTTCAGAGAGATGGACGCTCACCACAAGCTCCTCGCCCACGATGTGTTGTGAGCGGAGCTTTCCGCGTGAGCCCAGCAACGTTACCTGAATTGAGCGCGGCGCTGAAACAAATGTCAGATTCAAGGGCTAGTGGGGACGATGGCATCACCATTCACATGATCCGAATGACTTTTCCGGTGATCGGAGTTAGTTTGTTGCATATCATCAATGCTTCTTTAACTTCTGGGATATTGCCTGATGCCTGGAAAATTGCCAAGGTCTTGCCGCTCCTAAAATCAGGATCAATGTCTGACCCAAACAATTACAGGCCGATATCGATACTGCCCACGGTAGCTAAGCTAGCTGAACGAGTGGTGTGTAATCAGCTGATGCAGTATCTTTTAAATCACAACATTCTCAGCAACCAACAGCATGGATTTCGCCCTGGTCACTCTACGGAGTCCGCACTGTTGGACGCCGTCAGTTTTATCACCAAAAGCTTAGATTCTAAGTTGGTTACTTGTTTGACTACAGCAGACACTTCAAAAGCATTTGATAGTGTTCCGCATGACCGCCTCCTCAAAAAGCTTGGTTGGTACGGCATAGACACGCATTGGTTTCAAAACTGGCTGCGAGGTCGACAACAGCGTGTGTGCAATGGCACTGCTGTACCAGTTACTCACGGAGTGGTGCAGGGATCCCTGATCGGGCCAGTGTTGTACCTATTGTACACCAACGACTTTGCAGCGTACGTCAGTGATGCTGAAGTCGTCATGTATGCGGACGACGTTCAGTTCCTTCACTCGAACTCAAGTGGGAGCATCGACACCCTGAAGGCGCGGGTGGCCAGCACCTTAACTGAAGCGCACTCATGGTTTGTTGACAACAGTCTTAAAATCAATCCAAAGAAAACGGAGGTTGTGCTTTTTAGGACGCGCCAACGTCTGCTTACCGATTTCACTGTTACCTTTAGTGACACAGTCGTTCAGTCTTCTCCGTCAGCAAAGGTGTTAGGAGTAGTTCTTGACGAGAATCTCTCGTGGAATCCTCAGGTTTCACTTGTTGTTCAGCGGTGCTATGGAACTCTCCACGGGCTCTCGAAATTTTGTTGTGGACTTTCAACGGAGGTAAAGGCATTTTTGATAGAGGCACTGATTTTTCCTCATATTCTGTATTGTCTGAGTGTATGGGGTGGTTGCAGTGTCACCCAGAAGCGTCGCATTCAAAGAGTGATAAATCATTGTGCTCGTATTGTGTTTTGTAAGCGTAAATCGGAACATGTCTCACCACTACTGAGTTCGCTTGCATGGCCCACTATTGATGATTTGATCAGCAAGCGAGATGTTTTATTTGTGGATCGACTGATGTACCACCCGTATGCTCCACGTCACTTGCAGAACTCGCTAGTTCACCGACGCGAGATATCCAGCAGAGAAACGCGCTCCACTTCCGCGGGCTTGTTACAATTGCCTCGCATCCACACAGAATTTGCGAGGCGTTTTTTCACTTACCGTGCAATTGCGCAATGGAACCAGCGATCGTTGACCGAGTGAACCATCCTGTCAGTGTATGTCGCCATGTGTGATGTAATGCTGCCTGAGCTTTATTTGTGTGCCTTACTGCATTTCATGTGAATATTACGTCATGTACTTTTTTGTAACAATCATAGGCTAAGTGTGCTATGAACCATCAATCGCGGTCTGAAAAGCCATACAATGGAGACCGTATGTACAAATACAAATACAAAAATACAAATATATGCTTTCAACAAATGATAACAGAACAGACGAGAGAAGTTGCCATAAAGATGCCAAAGTATCTTTTCTATCATAGGGATTAAGTGCTGCACGAACATTCCTGATACATACATAGGTATAGCCCTCGTATATCATTTTTTGCTCATTTGAGCCCGGTTGACGCCTGAGTCAGTGTGATCAGTCGATACTTTTTGTATGTTTGCTTGACGGCCTGCAGGACGGTTTTTGCTCGGATGACCACCGGGTGTTCCAGTGCAGAGTGCTCCAATACCCAATCATCTGTGCCTTTCGCCAAACAAAGAAGTTAATCGGCCTGTCGTGCCTTGACCCCACTTCTACTTGGCCACAGTCTGCGTGGCTTAGATTGCGGCAGAAGGAGCTTGTCTTTTTATATTTTCCCGTTAGCCCGCGTCTTTGCTGAACCATTAAAACGTGCCAGTCCAAATGTCCCTTCACAAATGTGGTAACCATTAAGGCTCAAAGTGTACCGAATCTGCCGATGCTTACTATGACAAGCCCTGTTTAGTTACTTTTTTGCTTTATCAGATACTATCTGTTGTTGTTTTTTAGATCTACCCTCCTCCCTCTATCCTCATAACTTGACCTCTCTCCCTTCCTCCTCAGCAGTCGCCGCGGCTCCCGGGGCGGCTCGGACAAGCCCGACTGGCCGTCCACCGGCTCCAGCTCCAGCAGTCGCAACAGCTCCGGCTCTACCGGCGACGAGCCGCAGGGCGAGCTGGTGCACCTGCGCGAGCTGCTGCAGGCGCGCGGCGTGCCGCAGCACCTGCTGGAACAGCTGGCGCCGCCCGCCAGTCCCAGCCGGCACCGCGGCCACACAGAAGGAGGTGAGCTGCCCGCCCACGGAGGGAGATATATGTCGTCAGAGCTTTTAGGGAGCGATTGTACTGTGTCATTCAGAAAAGGAACCGTTACTCTGAGCGGATTTGTGTGGGGTTGACTAATGTAATACTTACGAACACGGTCTATTCATAGCTTGGTGGGATTCCGTCTACCATATGTTCTGAGAACGTATAAAAAGTCATTTGGTAAAACAATTCATTTGAGCATTAGCAAAGACCGTCGATCGCTGAAAATGCTTTCCATTTTACCCTTACCTCCTGCTGCACTGACCGTACTAACCGCTGTGCGCTGGGCCCGGCTGCAGGCTGCAGGATGTACCAGCTGCTGCAGATGCTGCAGTGCTCGGAGGACGAGTCGCTGCAGCTGCAGGCGGTCGTCGAGCTCGGTCAGCTCCTGGTGATGGCCTCCGAGGACACGCTGGGCGCCTTCCCGGCCGGCAAGTTCGTGCCGCCCATCACCAGACTGATACAGACAGACCGCGGCGACGACCTGGTACGGACCATCAGATAGAGTTTGACACAAGCGACGTTTATAATCGAGCTGAAGATACATTTTCAGCTGGAAGAGGTTTTATCTACTTTGTGCATCAATTAATGACCTTAAATATTGATCATAGTTGCATTACTTTGCTATCCTAAAAACATTTCTTTGATGTTTACCCTGATCTATGTAGACTGGTATCTATGACATAAAGGAAATCACCTCAGAAAACATGCACTTCCTCAATCAATGATCACGGTAATAATCCTATATATACGTCTCACAATATCTGAAATATAATGTTTCACTTATCCCGTCCTCAGGTCACACAGGCGTGTCGCACGCTGACCCACCTGCTGGAGCTGGTGCCGCACAGCTCAGCGGCCGCTGTGGCAGCTCTGCCGGCGCTGCTGCAGCAGCTCCGAGCCATCTCCTCAATGGAGGTGGCCGAACAGGCGCTGGCTGCACTGGAGCTGCTCACAAAGAGACACGGCAACGCTGTCCTGCAGGCGGTAAACAAAAGGAGGGAGAGAGGGAGAGGGAGAGGAAGAGAAGAAGGGAGGGAGAAACGGATGGGCAGAGGGAGAGGGAGATAAAGGGAGAGAGGGAGAGAGGGAGAGGGAGAGAGGGAGGGAGGGAGAGAGGGAGGAAGAGGGAAAGGGAGGAAGAGAGGGAGGGGGAGAGAGGGAGGCTCGACTGTACTGCGGCACAGTCACCGGTCACGGCGCTCGGCTGTACTGCGGCACAGTCTATCTCACGGAGCTCGGCTGTAACGCGACACAGTCTATCCACAGGCGTTTATCCGTACTGTGGCACAGCCTAAGTCACGGTGTTAAGCTGTACTGCGGCACAGCCTATCCACAGGCGTTTAGCTGTATTGCGGCACAGTCTATCTCACGGCGTTCGGCTGTACTGCGGTACAGTCTATCTCACGGCGCTCGGCTGTACTGCGGCACAGTCTATATCACGGCGCTCGGTTATACTGCGGCACAGTCTATCTCACGGCGTTTAGCTGTATTGCGGCACAGTCTATCTTACGGCGCTCGGCTGTACTGCGGCACAGTCTAACTCCCGGCGTTCGGCTGTACTGCGGTACAGTCTATCTTACGGCGCTCGGCTGTATTGCGGCGTAGTCTAATACACGGCTCTAGGCATGCCGAAATTCGTTGTAGTTTTAGCTTATAAGCGAAGTGTAATTTCTCATAAGCTACACAGAGATGCCTAGTGCCAGACCATGAAAATATTGCTAACAGACTGATGTTTCTGATGTGGTACACCGCATGACATAGGTATTAGAGTTGCAAAGTTTCCCTACCGCATTACCGGCATGCCGGTAATTTTTCACTACCGCAGGTTTTTTGTGGTATCTGGCATGTCTTGCCGGTAGCATGCCGGTATTTTTGGTTTTGCACAAAAAAAAATTATTAGCTTAGCATATGATTCAAACGTTGGACACTAAGAGGAAAATGTGGCATCTCTTGTAGGGGTAAACTGGAATCAACAATGCAGGTTTTTTAGTATGCCGGTAATTTGGTGGTGTTTTTGCTTTGGGCGTGGTAGCATGTCGGTATCCCCAAAAAAATTTGTGGGGCGGGGCGGTGCCGGTAGCAGCCTTTAGGGGAAACTTTGCAACTCTAATAGGTATCGTATCACGCTCTGTCCACAGGGCGGTATCACCTCCTGTCTGGCCTTCTTTGACTTCTTCTCTGCGGAGGCGCAGCGTGCGGCGCTGTCCGTGACGGCCGGCTGCTGCCTGTCCCTGACCAGCAGCGAGTTCCATCTGATCAGTCCGCACCTGTCGGCCATCGCCAGCCGACTCTGTCACCAGGTGAGTCATCTGAGTCAGTCGTTGACTGCCATCAGGTGCGTCAACTGAGTCAGTGGATTCTTCCACCAGGTAAATCAACTGAGTCGTCGACTGTCACCAGGTGAGTCATCTCAGCCAGCTGACTCTGTCACTAGGTATGTCAACTGAGTCAGCCTACTCAGCCAGTCGACTCTGTCACCAGGTGAGTCAACTGCGTCAGTCGACTTGTCACCGGGTGAGTCAACTGCGTCAGTCGACTCTGTCATCAGGTGAGTCGACTCTGTCACCAAGTGAGTCGACTCTGTCACCAGGTGATTCGACTGAGTCGTCGACTGTCACTGAGGTGAGTCAACTGAGCCAGTCGACTGTCACTGAGGTGAGTCAACTGAGTCAGTCGACTCTGTCACCAGGTGAGTAAAATAATTCAGCCGGCTCTGTCAGCCTACTCTGCCATCAGGTGAGTCATCTGAGTCAGTCGATGTGTTTTCTTAGAATATCCATGAACAATATTTTGTTATTCGTATTTAGGGCTTTAAAAACAACAAAGTTATCGCACTTCTTGTTCTTAGATATACAATTATAAGCTTCCCTAGCCGCTGTATCATCATAAAGGGATTTTTTATCACTAATTTTGCGGATGACATCGATGTTGTTCTCTGAATGATCAAACACCCAGGTTTCCTTTATTGAAGTGGACATATCTCATTTGATGCAATTAAAATGTGTCCGCTGTTCGTCGTTAAATAACGCCATCAATCAACTTTCACCGTCTTCCTCCGTTCAAGGACCGCCGGGTGGCTGAGGCTGCCTGCCTTGTGCTCTGCCGGCTGTCTGAAACGTTCAAAGCCGACCGGATCAGGGTGCAGACAATCGCAGACAGCGGACTGGTGAAAAACGTCCCACAGCTGGTCAGTGCTCAGCTATTTCTGAAGTACAGGCTTCCGGCGCATGTTTGACGAGCGTATTATCTTTCCTAATACTTCGGTAACGATGCATCTTCTTAAGACAATGCGAACATTAAAAAGTAGTTCAAGCGGAAGTTGATATAATGATGCTTATGGGCCCCTTGATAAAGTTGCTCGTTAGTAGTTCTGCATTGAAAGGATGATAAGTTACTTGTTTTGATTACATTAGAAACTTAAATAAACGCCAAGCGATATAGCCATTTAAATTAGACGGTTTCCCATGCTGACTTCCCGCTCGCCCCCTTCTCCGCGATTCAGCTGGCCGGCAGTCCACCGGTGATTGGCAGCTCGACCTTCTGCGAGGTCACACGCATGCTCCGCCTCCTCTGCGCCCACTGTCCACCCATCGCCGTGCAGCTCCTCACAGAGAACATTGCCGGGACGCTGAAAAAGCTGCTAACAACAGACACTGGACAGGTGGGACCAAGTGACTGCGTATCATCACATTTAGTTTAAGCCTAGATATTTGATTTGCTGCATAAAATGAAATATTTTGTGTGAGATTCCTAAAAAAGCTGTTTACCTTTCGTTTATTACACATAAGATATTTCACATTATTTACATTCAGAGTAGAAATAATTTTTTTTGCTGATATGCCACTAAATTTTCGTTCACCCGACCCGACAGCCGGTGTCCCCGGGCTCGTTCCGTAACTCGGAGGAGGTGTACTCGCTGGTCTGTCTGGTCTCCGAGCTGCTGCCGCCGCTGCCCAGCGCGGCCCTGTTCGACGTCGACCAGCTGCTCACCCGACGTGTCTCCGTTCGGCGCTCCGGTTCTTACGACAGGGTGAGTCGCCACGTGAGAGTCGCGGGTCGATTATCAGGCATTTTGTTTGGTGCATTTGTGACCGTTTACAATATCGTTATTTTTCGATCATGAGTTATGTGCACTGATTGAGCTTACGAAGATTGACGAGCATGTATATAGGGCTCACTGGCACCTGCACCTGTAAATACATTACTAATGACTTCCTCATCAGAAGATACGTGGCATCTTCATTTACTAGCGCTAGAATGCTCTATGAGGATCTTACTAATATAGAGTACGTATAAATAGGTTGACACTAATAAGTTTATTTTACCTAATAGTAATAAGTACATTTGTTTCCATTCAATAATAATTACGTAGCAAACATACTAAGAAACTTCTAACCTTGCCAAGTTCGTTTTAGTAACCCCTGTTCTGTCGTATTGAGCGAAGCCCTATCGCCGGCCACATCCAATGCGTGGTTTCCGCATATTTCAGGAAGCCGTTCAGTGGAGAGATAGTTCGGATATTTCGAGCACAAACGCAGTAGGAGATGCTTCCAATTCTCAGGTTCGTTCATTTAGCATCCGAAGATAAATGTTTGGATAACCTGTGAACAATAAGTCATTCCAATTAAATGAATAATAAACCAACCACAATTAATAATTTATTGGCTAATGTTCTCATGCCGCTATAACGTAAACAGGAGCATCATTTACCATTCTACACTGCCACAAATGAAAATACCTACTAGCTCTTCACCTGCCACAGTCCATAATTCAGCTTCCAATTATTAACTACATCTAATTGTCTGATGTGATCTCAATCCGTCCCCATCCCTGTGACCACGCGCGGCTGTCCGCAGGCGGAGTCGGACCGGTCCGCGGCCCCGGGCGGGTCCAGGGGTGTGCGTCCCGCCGCCGACCCCCGCGCGGCGGTGCTCCGTCCGGCCGACTGGCTGCCGCTGCTGCTCGACGTTTACGGCGCGGCGCCAGGCACTGCGGTGCGCCATGTCTGTCTCCGCGCCACCCTGCGCTGCGTTAGCGCCGCAGAGCCAGAGACACTGCAGGTGAGCGAAAAAAAAAAACAGCTATAGGAAGCCAGCGAATATGTAGTATTCTGCGGCGTACGACTCTTCAGTCTGTCTTGATCGGGAATGAGCATTCCACTGAAGACAAAAGCATATTCAAACATTCATGCCACCGTTTGGTAGGGAATGCCTACTTTTAATTAATGTCGATAACAAATGGATTCGATCTGTCGAACAGCTTCCTGATATGGGATTAAGCTGATCAGGCTGACACTAATTCAGCAAACAGTGCAACAGAGTCGGCCGATCGTGGGCCATCTGTCTGACCCACTGGCCCAATTGTGTTCGGACACAGGGCGGTTTTTGTCCACGGACCAGCCAGAACTGGGTCAGACGGCTCGGCGCGTCCACGTTCTTTCTGCTGTCGCACTCCACCAGTTTAGCGAGTCAATCGGCTATCCTTCATTTGATCAACACGGGTCTTAATTGCGTCAACAGAGTTTTTGAAAGACCGGGTATTGATCGCTTGGCAGGATGAAGCTACAAAGAGAAACTATATTATATACAAGAATTATATTATATAGACATGATGCACTAAAACAGACTGTCAGGCTAAATAATAGGGGCAAATTTTGCTTCAAAGGATTAGCTGAACTTTATCACGTTTCGTAAATATATCCAATTGTTATATTGTCCCTATGCGCTGTAGGACATAGTGCACGCTTGTGTTATGTCACAAGCCGTTTCCTTGTTGCCTTGTATTAGCACAGCACGACTACCGCTCGGCTCGGCGCCCGTTCTCCCCGTCTGCCTCGCGCCCTCGCTCCCCGGCCCGTCCGCCGCGCTGCGCCGCGTGACCCCCTGGCGGCCGCCCGCAGAGGCGCGTCCAGTGGGAGACGGGCAGGGGCGTCCCCAGGAAGGGGCACCCCACACTTGCATTTATATTGAACGATCATGAAAACAGGCGATCGCATTTGCAGTCTAAAGACGTCCCAATGTTGCCTCTGACCGCTCGCTGCGCGTCCCGTCTGCAGGGCGTGCTGAACATGCAGGAGTTGTCGGTGCAGCTGGCCAGCCTGCTGCCCTCGCCGGACGTGAAGCTGGCCGTGCCGGCGCTGCAGCTGGCAGAGACGCTGATGCAGAAGCTGCCCGACCTCTGCACCAGCCACTTCAGACGCGAAGGTGAGGGCGCAGCTGAGCCTAGATATGTGCGATCCTGAGGCTCGTAGCTGACTTCATTGAAATTTTTATCATAAAGCTGTCTTGCTAACGCTATTTTGTCTAATAAACGGCATGATAAATATCCATTTTTGGTTTTACTTAAGAGTGTAACGAGCTCGCTGCCGTGTTCCACAGACACACTCTGGTGCTGTGTGCGGTGTTTGATAACGAGATCGTTTTATTTCAGGCGTGCTTCACCACATCAGTCGTCTGGCTGTGGACGGTGACCCTCTGGACGAGACAGACCCGAGGGGGAACGGCCAGACTGCTGACACCACTGCTGATCTGTGAGTGGGCGACGGCCTGTCTGACTGCCTGACTGTCCCCGGTACTCAGAAATAAGACAAATAAATTTTATATGCCACTGTCTCAGTAAAAGGCATCGTTAAGCATATGTGCAATGCAGGCTTCGCACTTCGCTTGCTCCATGACCTGCTTTCGAATCAAGTCGACTCGAATGAAGTTTCATATTTGCCTTCGCCTGTGGCAGGAGTCTGAGAGACGCCTTGAAGAGGAGGAGGTCTTCCCGACGTGGAGCCCTCGGCTGTCAGAGACACAGCTTTGACCAGACGACCGCCGGCTCCGCGTCCGCATCTCCGTCACATACAGGTAAACGATCTCGTGAATATACTCAATATTTAAACAAAAATGCTCATAAGCCCGTTGAGCACATTTCCTGGCATTCAGAACATGAATCTTGTTACTGACCAGCTCGGCACAGCGACGGTAGAGCTCCAATACCGAGTCGGTTTCCGCTGGCTGCAGCTGGCGCCGTCCCGGCCCGGTAGTTGAAGTCTCTGATGCTGTGCCGCAATACTCCGGTGTCGTGCGGAACAGTCGGCGGCATACTTATCTGGCTTCAACGCAGCCTAACCGGCAACCGCTAACGCATAGATTGCATGCAGCAAGCTGAGACCGAGCATCAGCGAGGTGTTACTGGCAATAGCACCAGGTAGGCAGATCTTACGTTACTGACCATGCCCTGCGCTCCGTTACAGGGGGTGCGGCCCGCGCGCTGGCCGCCGGTGGCCGCAGTCGCTCGGTCGGCGGAGCCGAAGCACCCAGTCGTCTGCAGACCTCCCTCCTGGCCAGTCTGAGTCCGGCTCGGTGGGGCCGCGCCAGCTCCAGCTCACCGCACGGATCTCACCGAAACTCACTCACCGTGAGTCAGCTACGGAAGCTTGATTATCATTATTTTATTAGTTACGGTGGCTCTTTAGTTGATTTATACTAAAGTTGCTGAGACTCCGCCTTATCTTGCTACATTTAGCTGCTGAAAATCAAATAAAAGCTTAAATAAATCATCGTGTCTACCTCACCCCCACTCCCTCCGGTCATAGGAGGCCGGCGCGGCGCGGGAGGAGCGGGCGCGCAGCTGGCTGCGGCGGCAGGCGCGTCTGTTCCTGGAGCGGCACCTGGCCACGGCGGCCGGCGGCCACTGCGCCGCTCTGGCGCTGCTGGAGAGCGCGCTGCGGCAGCTGACGGCGGCGCCGGACCGCGGCCTGGCCGACCCGCTGCGGCAGCTGGCCGCCCTGCTACTGGCCGCCGACCTGTCGCCGTTCGAGCTGCTGCAGGCGGGCCTGGTGCCGCGGCTGACCGAGCTGCTGACCGCCGGGCCGGCCGGCGCGCGCCGACACCGTCTGCGCGCCTTCCTGCACGCGCTGGCCGGGGCGCCGGCGGCGGACCGGCCGCAGCAGGCGTGGGTGCCCTCGGCGGAGAAGGCCGCACCGCTGGCGGCGCTGGTGACCAAGCTGAACGCCTGCGTGGCCCAGCAGGAGCAGCTGCCGGTGAAGTCGTACGACGTCACTGACGGAGTGTCTGGCCACGGAGCGCTGCGCTACTTCACCGAGCATCAGCTCAAGGTTAGCGGCAATAGAAGGTAGGCCTGCCAAGTTCCAGCCATGTCGTGCTAAATTTGACTCAAACGGAAGCGTACACAAGCACAATTCACATTTCACCCATAATACGCCAGGAGCGTCGTTCTTTTAATCTGAAGTTCATCACACCCTCCCGTTGGCAGGTGGAGCTGCGCCGCGCGCCGGACGGCGGCGCTCTGCGCCAGTGGCGGCACGGGCCCGTTAAGGTGGACCCTCTGGCCCCGCTGCAAGCCATCGAGCGTTACCTGGTGATCCGCGGCTATGGGCGCAGCTCGTCCCGCACCGGCCGCTGGTCGGACGATAGTGGCTCGGACGAGGACGTCGAGGACGCTTTGGTACGTTGACTGAGGACGCCCTGAGTGGGTGGTGGGCTTAGTCAGTTCGCTGAACGATCGAGCGCCAGGGGGCGTTGAGAGAGACGGCCCTGGACCGGACCTGTATGCCTCACAATGAACCATTGTTACCTTGGGGGCGTTTTTGCTGCCATTGACAAAGTTGAGTGATGCTGGCAAAAGTAAAATAGTATAGCTTTTAATGCGACATACTGGGAATGTGACAAGCACTTAAAACGACGACTTCGGTCTGCTACATCGGCCGATTGTTTCAATTTGACCCTGTTCCGTACTCTGTTCCGTTCTGACGCTTCTCCATGATGTGCGTTTCGCCAGGTGGCGGCCAGCCTCAGCCACAGCGGGACGCACCGTCTGCAGTTCCTGATGGGCGGCCGACCGCTGCCCTATGACATCACCGTCTTCCAGGCGGTAGAGCAGTACGGACCGCGCTCACAGGAGGAAGACGGGGACGTGAGCGCCTCGCAGCTCTTCCAGAAGACGCACACTATCTACTACAGGTGCGCGGAGTCTGGGCTTCTGTTAGTGTGAGCCTAACTTTGATGCAGCACACGTCTCTTTCTGCCATGTTTGTTTGTTTGTTTTGTTGGGTTAGGCCCTTTCGGTCTGACAAGACCATTGCAGAGCCGGAAAGATGATAGGAATTAGGGGGAGACATTGGTCTGGGCAGACACCCTAGAAAGTCGCCGGGGCTGAGCCCGTCCGAATGGACAGGCCGACCAGCCCCACAAGCACTCTCTGCACCCGGCTACGAGGTGCGCTCCCTCGGGAGCAGCGGTGCTGCTCCAAGGGAGCAGCCCGCATGAGATAAAGGTGCCTGTTCAGCCCGGAATGGGGTTGCGGCGTGGGGGAGAAGGATTTCAGTATCCTGAGGATAGAAGCACGGAACGGTGCTTTCTGCCATGGACATTTCTTTGTTTTTACTATTAGCTGGATTCAGGGTGCATCGATTAAACACGAGCTAATCGCTATACCTAAGCGTTTGTTTATCATCCTTGCGTGCTTCGTGCGTTTCCAGACAGGCTCCGATCTCCAGCAGTAACGGTGGAAACTCCAGCAGCAGTCGGCGCCAGGAGACCCGTCCGGCGTCCGGCGGCGAGTCGCTGTGGGCCACCGGCTCCACTCCCGTCCCCGACTGTCCTCTGGTGGCCGGTCTGAAACCACAGCTTCCCGAGTCGGTCACCGTGGCCGACCCCAGCCTGGCGACCGTCAACCTCCTCCGTCTGCTGCACTGCCTGAGTCGCCACTACGGCGGCCTCTACCAGCTGGTGGCCAGCCCGCCGCTGCTCGGCGATCAGGTCGGTCGTGGTTAGCTCATGGTCGTCATGGTCCATGATAATTATGATAAGGGATCGTCGAGGTCCTGCCGTCGGAGCCTCGTGATCAGACAGCGTCATAAAACGCACCGCTTTGCAGTTTGCGTAAGCCAATCAATAATTGACTTGACCAAACACTTAACAGTCCTTTTTCTTTGTTTTATAATGGCCTATTTTGCAGTACTGCCGACTAAGCAGCGCTCCTCACTGCACGATATATGCACATGCTGATATCACGCTTGCCTTCAGGTGTTTGTAAACGCTCAGCTGACTGCCAAGGCTGAGCGGCAGCTGTTTGACCCGCTGATTCTGATGGCGGGAAGCACACCACCCTGGATTCTGCAACTGGGACTGACTTGGTAAGTGGTCAGAATGGCTGAGCTGAGCTTCATAGCCTCTCGAGCCTTTCTGTGCGGTCCCGTTCTATTTTGTAATACATGCCTGCGGATTTCGAGCTACACAATCGGGAGTTACGCTCAGGCTGTCAGTTTCACAGCCATGCCGTCTCTCATGACCAGTGATGTTCTGACCAGTGTCCGCTGTGCCGCCAGCCCGTTCCTGCTCCCGTTCGCGGTGCGGCGCCAGCTGTCTTCTCGGCCACGTTCGAGCGGGACCGGGCTCTGAGCCGCCTCCTGGAGGTGGTGCCGTCTGCGGCCGGCTCCGGCTCCGAGCGGCGGCTGCTGGCCCCGCGGCTGGAGCGGCGCCGCGCGCACTGTCAGCCGCCGCCAGCCGGCCCGACAGGCCGAGACGCTGCTCTCAGAGCTGGCCGGCTCGCCGGCGCTGCTGGAACTCCAGTACCGCGACGAGCCCGGCTCCGGACTGGGACCCACGCTGGAGTTCTACGCGCAGGTCTGCTCCGATGTGCAGGTGGCCGCACGCTGTCGCTTACCATGAAGAGACATAGCCTCTCAGTGAACCGCTTTCATATTTATTAGTTGCATTTGCAATTTAATTCTGTTACGTAACCAATAAGTCGAATATTTTCAAGCACGGTGCAGCTGCCTCAAAATAAATATCGATTTGTTAAACGAATAACGGATGGATACGATAGC